TCTAATTGATTGTGGGAATTTTGGAAAAAAAAACTAACTGAACACTATTTTAAGACGCTACTGTACACAATGTTTTATGTTTTTCCATTCGGGGAAAGAATGTGGAGATTCTGAGCATTTGACACACGCGAACATGCTACATACAGCTGACCATGAGAGAAGCACGGCTTTACTGTTTTCTAAGTTGACCCCCACTACCTGTAACGTTTACTCTTGCGCTTTATGAATTGTCATTGCAAAACTGAGCTTAGTAGGGAACTGCAACCTTTTGAATTGAAAAGGAAGATCTGTGGGAATTATAGGGATCCGTGGTATAATAACATTTTCACCTTTTCCTACGCCTGTCAAAATTGTAGCACCGATTATGTTCCGTCCAAGATGTGTCACACGCAGCCTTGTCCCGTTACATAACCGAGGAGCATCTAAATTTCGCATTAGCATGACTGGGATGCCTAATTTTAATCGAAGCTTATGTGAGGGCACACCTGACAACTCTAGAGAATTTAGAAACTCTGCGTGATATGAAGTGCTCTGTTCTGTGTCCATAACTGTGTCTACTGACAAATACTCTGTTATTTCTCCTGCTACTTCGCTTAATATATCCGAATTTATTTTGGTGCAAGAATCGCCCTTTCACATAACCATTTGTCTTCATGCATGTTGTTCGTTAAATCTGAATAAACGCTCGCAATTAATTCGGAATGACTCTGTACAAAATTACAAAAATCTCTCGTCAATTTAACGCAGCCCTCAGCATCCGTTTCCAACCGCCCATCGCCAATTTTTAATAGTGTGTCAGCATAGTTTCCAGCATTGATATCATTATACAAATGCACTCTCATATTCGTAGCTTAACTGAATTTTGTCACCTTGTTCCATAAAATACACGACTTGAGGCATACTTTAATGTCATCTGCAGGTGTGCCCTTTTGAATGACAGGTAAAGTTTGGCGAAAGTCACCAGCCAGTAAAACCACCATTCCTTCCATTACATCGGTATTGCTGCGCAAATCCTGGAGCGTTCGATTTAGTGCTTCTACAGCTTTTTTATGCGACATTGTACTTTCGTCCCACACTAAAAGTTTGCACTGTCGAAGCATTATACCTCGTGCACTATTTTTGCTAAAGTTGCAGATCGGCGATTCTTCCTGGGCTAGATTTAGACGGAGTTTTAAAACAGAATGTGCAGTGCGGCCCCCGCTTAGCAGCGTGGCGGCTATACCGGAGGAAGCTACGGCCACAGCGATGTTTTTATCTTTCCGTACTTGCGCTAATAATAAATTTAACAAAAATGTCTTCCCAGTTCCTCCAGGGGCATCTAAAAAGAAAAGTGCACCATTTCCAGATTCAATTTGTCCTAATACTTTGTCAAGAACTCGTTTTTGTTCGGAAAGCAAGCGGGGTACAAATTCGGCTACTTGCTGCTGCAAAGCTGGCATCACTTAGTTCATTTTTGTGGTGTTCGCTGAGGGCTTAACATTCCAAAGTCGCTTAATTTTTTTCCTACCATCGCCATTACTTTATATTCAATTTTTCTAAGTGCTTCATTATAAATGCGTTCATTGTATGTCATGTTCGCGTGTGTCTGCTGTAACCTTCGCAAAATATCTTCCGCCATGTACTATTTCTATTTGTCCCACAATTCATGTGCATTAGATAGCCCGCAAGATGATATGAGAGTTGCATAAAGATCCCTAATTTTGGCTAGTGACTGGCACTGCACAGCTTCCTCCATGGTTTCATCCCAGTGATTATCGTTTTCTAAAAGATGCAGAGCTTCTCTATAAGTTGCGCATGTGACCGTTGACAGTTTTAAGGTCTTTATATCCTGTAAACAGAAACATTCAAAATTAGTTACATGGACGGTATACACACGACCAAGGGCATCTGATGACTTTACACCGGGCCAATTTGCAACAGGCGTGCCTTGAATACGGTGTTTCCACTCCTTCCTAGATGTGTGTTCCAAGTATAATAGCGGGGGACTTCAGAATATAACAACGTTTTTGCAAAGGGGTCGGTTTGACAAAGTTGAAAGAAGGCTGTTAGTGTAGTTTTTGGCGCTGATGCAATTCTTTCTTGGAAATTTCTTTCGGTGAAATATACACGCTCTCCATTTTCTAAGTACACAGCAAGGTGAGTAACTGTTGGGTGCCTTTCGTGTAAAGGGAAGCCAAGGAGACGCCATGCTGCCTCGTTACTGCTGACATAACGCCCTGCTTGAAAGGTCTGTACTTCATTAACGGGATTTGCCTCACCTTCACTCCTGAGATTAAATATTGCTTGGTCGCTTCCTTTTTTATGTACTTACAGATATACTTGATTGCGCGGACAGAGCTACATACTTCTATATTAATGTGGGCATTAAACATTTTACATAGAATGGGCGAATACGGGACAATCCAGCTGTTATCTAAGGTTTCGAACGCTCCAGAGCGGGATTTGATTGTAACTTTCCTGCCACTATCTTCGGGAGCTCTGCGTCTGTATAAAGGATAGCCATTGTCATTGTGCACTGTTTCTTTTAATAGCTGTTTACGGAATTTCTTTGTATATTTTCCTTCTTTCATACATGGCGATATTGTATTTCGTGCTCCACATGGACAGTGAATCATATTTCAGACGATGGTATCATACAATTCTTTATCTTGCTCAGGATCCGGAATCTCGGCGCTTATTATGTCGTCTATTTGGCTGGGCCGCAACTTCTCTTTAAGCCATATTAGAATGTGGGCATGTGGTAATCCTCTTTTTTTGCCATTCAATTGAATACATGAAGCACTGCACCTCTCCGAAAATTTTCCCTTTGTTAATTACATATTAATTTTTGTACTTTTAATCTAAATACTCTAGCAACTAAATCGTGTCTGTCAGTACTTTTTTGGCCTGGCATTAGCTACTCGGTTGTTTCTTTCCATGTGGGATTGCAAGTAAAAGTAACAAAAATATCAGGTTTTCCGTAAGTTCGTACATAGGCGAATGTGTGTACTCATGTAGGTAGCGGGGACTGTTAACGAATGATGAGGGCAGAATTACCATTTTACCTAAATCTCTGGGGTTTACATTAGCATCGCTAGAAACTGCATCTTGTAAATGTATATAATTCTCAACGCGCAGCTTTTTTTGATTTAAAGATATATATAAAGGAGACAAGAAAATTGATGAAATAATTGTCTACACCGGGTTGAGAGATTAAAATCATTTTCTCGCAACATCATATGATACGCATAAAAATCCATACATGATACTTTTTTGTTCGGAGTAGGCTCCTTTGTGACTGGGTTAATGAGTGGAATTTTAAAATGATAACCCTCCTGTCCTTTGCAATAAATCAATGGGTATTGCAGATCGTCATAAAATCGGCTACCCGTTGCAACGTATCATCACGTGCTCGCAAGACAATGTCTCGTGAAGAAAATTGATCACCACTAATTACGGCTGCCATTTCGTTTATCAAAGGTGCATTGTAGCGCCTTTCATGCTCACCTCGAGGGGTCCGATCTGCGTGAATGACGACTTTATAATCCTCTTCAGGTAGGTTTTCTAAAGCAGTTTTAAATGTTTTGACTAAAATGTTACGTTCATGCAAGAATCTTTGAATTTTGAACACTGTGTCTCTCTCAACTCCTTGGATAAATTGGCAGCGACGGTCTACCTCAATTTCTTCGTCACCCATAAAATATATTTGTAAAAATTTATGCTGTTCGTTTTCAGCTGGAAAAAGTAAACCTATTCTATGATAAATTTGCCCTTGCACCGTAAATGTAGGCGAAAATCCCGGCATTATTATTTCCCGGTCAACTCCGAAGGACGTCATTTGAAAGCATGAGTTATATTTCCGGATCCTGTTTAAAAAGCGCCGTGACTCATTAGCATCATATAAAAAGAGAGTTTTCAAAGGTTCTTCTGGTTCCCCAAGTAACGGAAGAGACACTTTGCCATTGGAACAGCACATACCTGCGGTCTCATCTTTCCATTTTAAAGCGCTGCAAAATCAACACGCCTTGTCCATCAGTCCGATATATTATATATTATAAAATAATCAATTAACGGATCATAATTGAATGCTGCGTCATTAAAAACCGACCAATTGTTTCTTTGAAAATTTTGTCGACGTTCAGCTTGGAGCTGTGTATTTGCATCTCTTTGCGCCTGTGTCTGTTCTGGTGTTTCAGATGCCTTTATAGTAGATTGACGTTCAGCTTGCTCAATGAGTCTGTGTTGAGTTTCATCAGGTGTTTCCGCGGCTCTTAAGGCGGCCTGACGTTCCGCTTGTTCGAATAGCCTTTGCTGACTTTGAGCAGGTGTTTCAGTAGCTCTTAAAGTAGATTGACGCTCTGCCTGTTCAAGACGCCTTTGCTGAGTTTGAGCAGGTGTTTCAGTAGCTCTTAAAGTAGCTTGACACTCCGCCTGTTCAAGACGCCTTCGCTGACTTTGAGAAAGTGTTTCAGAAGCTCTTACAGTAGCTTGACGCTCTGCCTGTTCAAGACGCCTTTCCTGACTTTGAGAAGGTGTTTCGGAAGCTCTTAAAGCAGCCTGACGCTCTGTCTGTTCAAGACGCCTTTGCTGACGTTGAGAAGGTGTCTCAGATGCTCTAAAAGCAGCCCGACGCCCTGCTTGTTCTTGCCTTCACAGTTCAGCATCTTCTAAAAATTCTAGCGATCGAGCTAATCTTTTCGCTTGTCTTTGAGAAGATACTCTTGAAAGGCTGGACTTACGTTTGCGAGGCATTATGAAGTGACAAAAAACCTTTTTATAAAAAAAACGTTAAAATACCTAAAAGGAATTAAATTTCCTTTTAAATATTTTTTTCAAAAGCAAATCCAAAATAATAATAATAATAATAATAAGTCGCCCAGGAACTGGAATTAGAGCATATGAGGAGTACATTGGAAGAGGCGATTGTGGAAACGCGCAGTACGCCTCTCGAAAATCGACCGCGACTTCCCCGCATAGCCCTAAGCAAGCGGAATCGGGCTGTCGTGAGGGCTCTGAACCCAATGCTGGTGACCTATTTGGAAGCCAGCCGGGACCTTTGCGAGACGGACTCAATTCTTTTTGGCGCCGCGCTGGCAGTCTGCCGTATCATAGGCGCCAAGGTTTCCACGGCTGGACGCGCTACTGGCCATAGTAGCGCTATCCCAGCATGGAGAAGAAGAATTGAGGAACGTATCGCAAAGGCTAGAGCTCTCATCGGCAGACTGATATGCTTCAGATCAGGCAACAACAGGCCAAGAATTGCGCGCACCGTCAGGATGGCGTTTGCTGGGACAAATGTCAGTTTGTCCCAGCCGGATATAACGCAAAAACTGACGGAGCGCATAGATGATCTGAAGCAGAGAATCGCTGCTTGGGGAAAGCGGATTCGGCGATATACCGAGAGGTCGACACGGTTCAAACAGAATCGTCTCTTCCAGAGTGATCAGAAGAGGCTCTATGAATCATTGGAGCGACCAATGGTAAGTGGAACGGGTCCAGCACCGAATCAGGCCGACACTGTAGCATTCTGGCGCGGCCTGTGGTCAGGTATTACGCCCATGGACCCCGTCATCATAACGCCGGATGACGTAGCTGAGGCGGTCCATAGGGCCCCGAACTGGAAAAGTCCGGGGCTTGACGGGCTGCATCACTACTGGCTGAAGGGGTTCATGGTGTGTCACTCTGTGCTTGCCCGACAGTTTCAAGAGGCTCTCAACCAGAAGTCGCTCCCAAGCCTCTTCACTACTGGGATCACTCATTTGGTTCCTAAAGACCAGGGTACCACAGACCCGAGCAAATACCGCCCCATCACGTGTCTACCGACCATATACAAGACACTAACATCCATTTTGAGCGCGAGAATCACTTGTCACCTGGACTCAAATCAGGTGATGTCGCGCGCTCAAAATGGATGTCGGGGCGGTGGTCGTGGAACCAAGGAACCACTCCTCATTGACGCGGTCATTGGCAAAGTGGTGAAACGCAACCGTCGGAACTTCTCCGCCGCCTGGATAGACTACAGAAAGGCATTCGACTCGGTGCCCCATACATGGCTAAAGAGAGTCCTCGAGCTGTACAAGATAGACTGTACAGTTAGAGACTTCCTTGAGCAGTGTATGGGGCAGTGGAGTACGATCCTTTGTCATCTGGGCGAGCGGATGATGGCTGCGGAGAACCACATAAGGATAAGAAGGGGTATCTTCCAGGGCGATTGTCTGAGTCCAATCTGGTTCTGCCTCTCTCTGAACCCTCTCAGTACCTTACTGGAGGGCTCCGGGAGGGGATTTCAGCTACGGAGAGGAGGGACAAAAGTGACCCACCTTTTTCTATATGGATGACCTCAAGTTATTCGCCTCCAGTCGCTCCCATCTTATGGAATTGCTAAACATCACTTGTGAATTTAGCAATTCCATTGGAATGGAGCTGGGGACGGATAAGTGTGCGGTCCTCCATGTTGAGAGGGGTAGGGTTGCTAACTCTGAGGGCATAGACTTATCTATGCCCGTCAACTTAAGAACCCTTTCCGAGGCTGAAAGATACCGATACCTGGGTATGTCACAGAACATCGGTATCGATGAGGCTGGTATGAAACAGTCAGTTTGCGACGTGTTTTATGCACGCTTGACCAAAGTGCTTAACAGCCTTTTGTCCGGTGTGAATAAGGCACACGCATATAACGGTTGGGTCATGCCTGTCCTCATGTATACCTTTGGCATACTCAGGTGGACTCAGACTGAACTTAACGCCCTGGATAGAAAAGTCCGCACTACCATGACGTCCCATAGGATGCATCATCCCAGATCGTCGGTAATGAGGCTGTACTTGCCGCGGAAGCATGGTGGTCGTGGCTTCTTGAGCGCGCTCACCATGCATAATCGCGAAGTGTGCAGCCTCCGTGATTACTTCCTGGCGAGATCGGATGATCCATTCTATAAGGACGTCATTTCTTGTGATAAAGGACTTACCCCTCTATCCTTAGCCAACGAGCAATGGCAAGACCCGGCAGTGCAGAGCATTTCCGACCGGGAGACCGTATGGAAGGAGAAGGAACTCCACGGGAGGTTCTACAAGGCTCTACTCCACTGGCTACGCTTTGGTGATCTCTTCGGGGGAAACCGAGGGTTTTGTCTGTGCAATACAGGATCAGGTTATTAAGACCAACAACTATCGGAGATACATCCTAAAGGATGGCACCGTCGACGTCTGTCGAGCTTGTCGCCATCCCGGTGAGTCACTTAGGCATGTTATCTCCGGATGTTCGGCGCTTTCTAACTCTGAGTACTTGCACAGGCACAACCTAGTAGCCAGAATTCTACACCAGGAGCTCGCTCTGAACTACGGTCTCGTGGATCGGAAATTGCCGTATTACAAGTACTTGCCGGAAGCCGTGCTCGAAAATGATCGCGCCAGGCTCTATTGGGACCGGGCCATCATCACAGACAGGACTATTCTTGCGAATAAGCCTGATATTGTGCTGATGGACCGGGCACAGTCAAGGATATTTTTGGTCGACATTACCATTCCGTATGACGAGAACCTCGTGAAAGCCGAAACAGACATGCAAACAAAATATCTGGACCTGGCTCACGAGGTGACCGACATGTGGGGTGGTCTGCCGACCGAAATTATTCCTGTAGTCGTCTCTGCAAACGGGCTAATCCCAGTCAGCCTCTCGGGTCATCTGAGGCGGCTGGGACTACGTGGCGGACCGCTCCAGGTTCAAATGCAGAAGGCGGTGCTCCTCGATACCGCCCGCATCGTCCGCCGGTTTCTTTCCCTTTCCCCCTAACCCTCGGCCGTTTGGTCTCCCCTGCCGAGGGCCTCCATCTGGTTGGGCTTTTACTTATTTATGTACTTTTATATTTATTTTATGTTATTGATATTTATGTATATTTATCTTTTCATTTACATTTATAATTATATGTTTATAGAACCCAACCAGATGAAAAAACTATATAGAAAAAAAAATAATAATAATTGGCGTAGGGAATTGACGACCCCATCGCCCGCTGACGTAACAGTTAAGTGACAAAACTGCTACGTCAACGCAGTCAGTCAGCGCCTTGCGAGAGGTGTGAGCGCCGTGCCTCGGCAGAATTCAGGGTGCAAAGGCCCGTTTGTGCTTATGGCCGTCCATGATACGGTGCCGGGCCTGGGCGTCTCCCGTTAATGGACGCCCATATTATGGATGATGGAGAAAAAGATAGTGCGCAAAGGGCCGCTGCCTGGAGGTCGCCAGGGCGCGTCTGGAGCTGGCGCTGGACGCGACTGCATGCGGGCCGCCAGCCGAGCGCGGGGTGTTATAAGACCACCTAGCAGCCCCCCGCATCCATCATCCCCACCAGAAGGCTTGGTGTCGGCTGGGTCTTCTCGGACTCAGCAAGCGGTACCCGCCGCTGGTGGAGCACGTCGCATGCGTTGGTCTAAATCAATGAATGAAAACGCACTGCGGGCGTATTTTAGGGCAAAAGGGGAAGAAACTGGATGTTTGGCGTATCGGGCTCAGATGCATCGCTTTTTTTGCAGAGCTGGAGCCATCTCTATCCGTCACTGAGCAAAACCTGGCAGACCGAGTTAGGTACATCCTGCGCTCCAACATATTTGGTGACGCCGAACTCGAGCGACTACAACGTGAGGCTATTCCTTCATCGAATGGAAATGCTACGGCTGGGAATGCGGTGCCAGTAGATGCGCAACAAACTGCATTTGTGGATTCTGCCGTCAATATTCCATTTGTGGCTAATTCAGACGATGATGGAATAGTCTCCCACGAACTAGAGAAAATGAGGAGCATATTGGAAGAGTCGATGCTGGAAACGCGCAGCATGCCTCTCGAAAATCGACCGCGACTTCCCCGCATACCCCTTAGCAAGCGAAATCGGGCTGTCGTGCGGGCTCTTAACCCAATGCTGGTGACCTATTTGGAAGCCAGCCGGGACCTTTGCGAGACGGATTCAATTCTTTTTGGCGCCGCACTGGCAGTATGCCGTATTATTGGCGCCAAACTTCCCGTGGCTGGACGTGCTACTCAAAAAAGTAGCGCCATCCCAGCCTGGAGAAAAAGAATTGAGGACCGTATCGCAAAGGCAAGGGCCCTTATCGGCAGACTGACAAGCTTCAGGTCGGGTAATAATAGACCGAGGATTATGCGCACCGTTAGGATGGCGTTTGCTGGCACAAATATCAGTTTGTTCCAGCCGGATATCACGCAAAAACTAACGGAGCGCATAGATGACCTGAAGCAAAAAATCGCTGCTTGGGGGAAGCGGATTCGACGATTTAGCGAGAGGTCAAGGCGGTTCAACGGCGGCTCATTGACGCGGTCATTGGCAAAGTGGTGAAACGCAACCGTCGGAACTTCTCCGCCGCCTGGATAGACTACAGAAAGGCATTCGACTCGGTGCCCCATACATGGCTAAAGAGAGTCCTCGAGCTGTACAAGATAGACTGTACAGTTAGAGACTTCCTCGAGCAGTGTATGGGGCAGTGGAGTACGATCCTTTGTTATCTGGGCGAGCGGATGATGACTGCGGAGAACCACATAAGGATAAGAAGGGGTATCTTCCAGGGCGATTGTCTGAGTCCAATCTGGTTCTGCCTCTCTCTGAACCCTCTCAGTACCTTACTGGAGGGCTCCGGGAGGGATTTCAGCTACGGAAAGGAGGGACAAAAGTGACCCACCTTTTCTATATGGATGACCTCAAGTTATTCGCCTCCAGTCGCTCCCATCTTATGGAATTGCTAAACATCACTTGTGAATTTAGCAATTCCATTGGAATGGAGCTTGGGACGGATAAGTGTGCGGTCCTCCATGTTGAAAGGGGAAGGGTTGCTAACTCTGAGGGCGTAGACTTCTCTATGCCCGTCAACTTAAGGACCCTTTCCGAGGCTGAAACATACCGATACCTGGGTATGTCACAAAACATCGGTATCGATGAGACTGGTATGAAACAGTCAGTTTGCGACGTGTTTTATGCACGCTTGACCAAAGTGCTTAACAACCTTTTGTCCGGTGTGAATAAGGCACACGCATATAAAGGCTGGGTCATGCCTGTCCTCATGTATACCTTTGGCATACTCAGGTGGACTCAGACTGAACTTAACGCCCTAGATAGAAAAGTCGGCACTACCATGACGTCCCATAGGATGGATCATCCGAGATCGTCGGTAATAAGGCTGTACTTGTCGCGAAAGCATGGTGGTCGTGGCTTCTTGAGCGCGCTCACCATGCATAATCGCGAAGTGTGCAGCCTCCGTGATTACTTCCTGGCGAGATCGGATGATCCATTCTATAAGGACGTCATTTCTTGTGATAAAGGACTTACCCCTCTATCCTTAGCCAACGAGCAATGGCTAGACCCGGCAGTGCAGAGCATTTCCGACCGGGAGACCGTATGGAAGGAGAAGGAGCTCCACGGGAGGTTCTACAAGGCTCTACATGAGCCTTTCGTAGACACAGTAGCCTCCCTCCACTGGCTACGCTTTGGTGATCTCTTCGGGGAAACCGAGGGTTTTGTCTGTGCAATACAGGATCAGGTTATTAAGACCAACAACTATCGGAGATACATCCTAAAGGATGGCACCGTCGACGTCTGTCGAGCTTGTCGCCATCCCGGGGAGTCACTTAGGCATGTCATCTCCGGTTGTTCGGCGCTTTCTAACTCTGAGTACTTGCACAGGCACAACCTAGTAGCCAGAATTCTACACCAGGAGCTCGCTCTGAAATACGGTCTCGTGGATCGGAAATTGCCGTATTACAAGTACTTGCCGGAAGCCGTGCTCGAAAATGATCGCGCCAGGCTCTATTGGGACCGGGCCATCATCACAGACAGGACTATTCTTGCGAATAAGCCTGATATTGTGCTGATGGACCGGGCACAGTCAAGGATATTTTTGGTCGACATTACCATTCTGTATGACGAGAACCTCGTGAAAGCCGAAACAGACAAGCAAACAAAATATCTGGACCAGGCTCACGAGGTGACCGACATGTGGGGTGGTCTGCCGACCGAAATTATTCCTGTAGTCGTCTCTGCAAACGGGCTAATCCCAGTCAGCCTCTCGGGTCATCTGAGGCGGCTGGGACTACGTGGCGGACCGCTCCAGGTTCAAATGCAGAAGGCGGTGCTCCTCGATACCGCCCGCATCGTCCGCCGGTTTCTTTCCCTTTCCCCCTAACCCTCGGCCGTTTGGTCTCCCCTGCCGAGGGCCTCCATCTGGTTGGGCTTTTATTTATTTATGTACTTTTATATTTATTTTATGTTATTGATATTTATGTATATTTATCTTTTCATTTTCATTTATAATTATATATTTATAGAACCCAACTAGATGAGAAAACTCTATAGATACCCCATAATAATAATAATAATAAGTTCTTTATTTCCAAGAGGTTGTACATCAAGATATTTGCTTAACATTTAATAAAGCTACATTTGTACATATACCTGAAAACATAGCATCTGCAGCCGAACTAGGAGACCTGTGCATCAGCTGTCAGCGCCATATCCCCAACCTTTAATTTATAAAAATATTAGGATGCAAGCAAAAGTTAAATGTAAGCAAAAATTAAAGTTAAAATGAAATTAATTGGATCACATATTATGTTTATATACTATGTTACCACTTATTACCTATACCAAGGTACAAACAAGATAATAATTTATACTACTAATGTCGTTCCTCTCTCATAAGATGTGTAATGTATGACTCTAAGAAGTAATTGTGTTATGAGTGTAATGTGTATGAGCAGTTATGGAAGAGGAGCATGTAAAATGTGTGTGTATACATGTATATATGTGTGTATCCGGTTATTATGATTTTATACGGGTAGTTTTACGGATGAAAGTTTTATAAAAATTTATGTTTAAGTCTGATACTAAGAAGCTTTTCAGTTTCGTTATAAGTTAATTTTGTAGGTAATTATGTACAGTTTTTTTACAATTTATTTTATTATATATTATATAATTATAATATATATAAACACTCTGGCCTGTCACCCAGAGGGGTAGGCAGAGACTACAGACTGCCATTTGGCACGATCCTGACACACCTCTCTCGCTTCCTTCACATCCATACACCTACGCATACATGCTCGTCGGTTAAGGGTACTCCTAATTTGGGCCGTTTTCAATAAATCGCCAATTTGGTCGATAAATTTTCGCCTAGGACGTCCCTTTCCGGCTCTGCCATTCACTTCTGCAACATAAATTTTCTTTGTCACTCTTTCCTCATTCATTCTTTCCGCATAACCAAACTACCGAAGCATTCCTTTCTTAATCCTGGTCACAACATCATCTTGCAAACCACACTCTTCTCTTATTACACAATTTCTTACCCTGTCATTCAGATTCAGCCCTAACATACTCCTTAACGACCGCATTTCTACTGCGTTCATTCTACTCTCGTGCTTCTTCTGCCACACCCAACTTTCACTACCATACGTTAAAGTAGGGACCAACACAGCATTGTGAATTGCCATGCGTGCCTTTTTATATAAATATCTAAAAGGAATTAAATTAAAACAACAAAACCAATTAAAGACACAACACGAATCCGAAAACGATAGCCAAATAAAATCGAATCAACTTAAACCAAATCACAAAACAAATCGCAGAAAACCGAAATCGAAAGCCGTAGTCAATATAAATATAACCAACGAAAAAAGAAGTAAGTATATAGGTACCGTATACACTATCTATACTATTAATATTCCTTTGAAATAATGTTAAACGAACTAAAACAACGAAAACCAATTCACGATTCTAAATAAACAAAATCCAAAATCAAAGCCAGAGTCTAAATATGTATAAAGGAATACCAACCAAATCAACAAAACCTATCCAAGAAAATACACAAATCCGAAAATGAAAGCTAATATAAATCCATTCAACCTTAACCAAATCACAAAGCAAATAACAAACAACCGAAATCGAAATCAGGTAGTCGAATAAGCTACGAAATAGAAACAATTTAAGCGTATAGGTACCGTATGCACCATAAGTTGACGCGCGGCTTAACGGCGGGAGTTAAGTACATGTCAGGAAACATTTCGTTACCACGTTTTAAAAACCTAGTAACGACATCTAGCGGAATCAATTTAAACTATGTATATGTTAGTTAATAAGAACTCTCAAAAAATATTTTTCTTACAATTTTGCACAATTTTTCTTATTGTAATACCGATTCATTCATAACCACATATAAGAACTGTATTCATATCCGTTCAATAAATATTACTAAGGCTTATTAATAAGGCTTACTAAGAACTGTTTCTACCACAGTTAAGTAATAGTGAAGGGTGAAAGCGTGACAGGTGGTGATAGTATTTCTGATCCATAATTATAATCACGTCTGTAACCCTTGCGGGGTAGGCAGAGCATCAATGGATTACTTAATATCGTCTACGAGGTTATCGCCTATTCTATGAATCACAATGCACCAAAACGTTTGAAGAAAATCAGCTGGTGAATTTTATGTTTTTTATCGCTCTCTTTCCGGTCCTGCGTGGAAAAATACAGATCCATACATTTTTTATCTTAATTTTGGTAAAAAGACATAATAATCCAGATATTCTGACCTTCTGTGTTCGTCCATCGTACCGTCGTCCGTCTTGTAGAATCACGGTGGCGCCACCTAGCTGAATTTAATTTTGCAACATATTCGATTTTCCCACGGGAATGATATGTTTTTCCGCTGAAAAAAGTAGCCTATGTCACTCTACAGCCACCGAACTATCCCCATACAAAATAAAGAAAAACCGGCCAAGAGCGTGTCGGGCCACGCTCAGTGTAGAGTTCCGTAGTTTCCCGTCCGTCACAATAAGTGTTCCCACTTATGAGTTTAACGAACATAATGGATACCCACCTTGGGTATCCATTATGTTCGCGCTCCAGCAGCGCTCCGCGCTCCTGCAACTGCTCCCGGTAGTGGGTACCTACTGTTGTTTCCATCCAAGTTCAAAATGATTTTCCTAGAAAGTCCTTATAAAGTTCTACTTTTCAGATTTTTTTCATATTTTCTAAACTTATGGTTCAAAAGTTAGAGGGGGGGGGGGCACATTTTTTTTACTTTTGGAACGATTATTTCCGAAATTATTGACATTATCAAAAAATGATTTTGAGTACACCCCTATTCATTTTTAAATACCTTTCCAACAATATATCAAACGTTAGGGTTGAAATTAAAAAAAAAATCACTTCCCACTTTACATATAGGGGGGGCTACAGTAATAAAACATTTTTTTCCAATTTTTATTTTACCACTTTGTCGGCGTGATTGATACACATGTTGGTACCAAATTTCAGCTTTCTAGTGATAACGGTCACAGAGATCAAGCGAG